TCTGAGGAGGACCCAGCCAGGCTGTGGAGGTCTGTGTAGGGCCTGCCCCTCCTCGTCACTACATAACAATTCCGTCCCCACATACCTCTGCTGGGCTGTGCTCTGCATCAAGGGGGGGTTGGCACTGGGAGGGTCCTTCTCTCCCTCCCCTTGCCAGCCTGGGGAGAGGCCACACGTTATGTTCCCACGAGCTTACCACCCTTATGGAGCCGCACTCAAGACTCAGGCCCAGGCTCCACAGAGCCAGGGGTTAGTTCCCGCGACTCAGCATGCAGTTGTTGTGTGTTTTGCACCTTCTCAAATTCCAAACGAGTGCCCAGGGTTCCGGGCAGAGACACTTCTGCCTTGGACGGGTCCTGAAAGATGTGCATGAGATAACAGCTAGCCTCACCGGGCACAGGGCATTTCAATGAACAGACTTCAACTGTGACGCAGTCTCTAATTTAAAACATGGCTTTATTATAAAACAAAGCCTCATTCATTATAGAGGGTTTGCAAAAGACAGAATTGAAACACACTAAGAAGAAAACTAAATCCAGGTCATCCATCATGATTGTCCGGAGACAATCCTGTTAATTTTTTTGATGGATTTCCTCCCTGGATTTCTACCTTCTTGGGATTGTTATGAGGCAAACACAGGTCTCACATCCAGGCCCACTCCAGATCTGAAAATAGAATGGTAGACTCCCAATTAAAGGTTTGTTCATCACGAGAAGTAATACATTTTAAGCAGGTTGCACATGTGGGCTGTCTGTTCTGTTCTCTCCTTACTGAATTATTGATGCCATGAATACAAATGCACCTCTCGCTCCTCCATTGTCCCCTAATTAAAAAGGAACACAAAGCAGGTCCAATGTGCTGAGTGGTGGGACTTGGAAATGTAACTTTTGAAGGATGAGAGGGAGGAGCCAAGGAGCCCCTGGGGAAGGTGGGATGCTACAGTGAGTGTTTAATGCGGAGCTTCTGTGTCCTGAGAGACCCTGGCGGTTGCTGGGAAGCCTCTTGGAAGAGGTGCATTAATTATTTAAGTGCAGGCCCAGAGCTACAGGGCCATCTTAGCAGGAGGGCAATTAGTGAGGCCTGGCTCACAAGGCCCATTTCAAGATCCCTCTAGCTCCTCCTTTCCAAATAGGCCACCTACCAGGGGAAAGTCCAGCTCTGGTTGCTGGGGTGGGCCCTCACTCTTGGCTATTTATATTCCCAGCGGGTGGGCTGAGAGCACACTCATCTGGGAGGGGCTTGGGACCCAAGACTCCATCTAATCTGAGGTCCTCCAGACTCCCTTTTCCTCAACTTTGATAATCACCTTTGTCCACAGAGCACTCACCTGTCCACATCTGATCCTGGCTGACTGTGCAGTCACACCTCTGTGGCCAAGCTTGATGTTGAGACACGGAAAAACTCTGGGTCAGTTGGATGATGGCATGCCTGACATGCTCATAGCTGGGGTGACTGTCAGTATTCATCAGTGAATGCTGGCTTCACCATTCACTGTGATGGAATTATCACACGTATCGAACGTGATCTTATTTAAGCTAGTGTAGGTGTGACAATGGCCTTGATAAATGGGACATTTCATGATGCAAAAATGCATTACTTCTAACTCCAGAAGTCCCTGTTGACTTTTCAAACCCAATGCTATTCAAGTCCAAAGTCTTGTCTGAGACTCGAGGCAGTCCCTTAATTATAAACCGCTATAAAGTAAAAGCAGGTTACCTATTTCCAACATATAATGGCACCGATTCAAATGGGGGAAAAAAAGGACATAGCAATGAAGGATCTGACTAAGGAAAGACCATAACCCTTCAGGGAAAACACCAGCTCCATGTCCATCATCTACGACTCACAATGTAACCATCTGGGCTCCAGGAGCACAGGCTTCCCACTTCTCCAGATCTGTTGCCTTCAGATTAGTCTGGTTCTCCGCTATGCTTGTAGCTTTCCTCAGTGGACATTCCCATGGTCCTGGCATCTCCAATATTCTAGAACTTCTACTGCAACTTGGGCTTTATCTTTGTCACTCCACATAATAGCTTCTTAGGACCTTCTTACAGGGACTCCAATCCTGCTACAACCTGCCTGGACTCAACTGCTGTTTGAAACTATGGAGCAAGACTCCATGACCCGCTCAATCTAGTATCTTTCATGCCCTAAAAACTAGTACCATAGGAATGCTGTTACTAAGTTCTGTTGACAGCTCAAGACGCATCCCAGTCCCCTTGATCCATAGCTACCTCAGCTCCTGTGTGCTGGTCCTGAGGAAACACTTGCCTGGACAATTGCTTTTGAGGAACAGGGCCCCACCTAACCCCCAGCTATGTTCTCAGTTGATGTCCTCTCCCTACAAATAGATTTGGATCCTCCCAAAATTTGGATGAGAGCTGGAGTTGTGCCCTCCAGATAGCTTTCCTATTGTTCCAGTACAACACAGGAGGTGTCTCATCAATGGTGCTGATTTCTCTTACAGTTGCTTTCTCAACACCAACCTAATGACTCTTCTGCTTTAAAATTTCCCCCACCAAACAAACGAGTCCATTATTTTAAAATTCAATTTCACTGAAGTTCTTAGGGTATGGGCAGAATGAAGCCAGATTCTTGGTCAAAATACCACATGAATGTCCCCTTATTCTAGTTCCCGATAGTCTTGTCCTCCTTTGAAACCTTACGGGCCGGGCTTCCATTGTCCACGTTTTTTGTCATATTCCTATCTTATAAGCTCTCACCAGAATTGCCTAGTAAGCTCTGATTGCAGCATACTTGGGGTTTTCTAGCCCTAAGTGCCAAACTCTTTCACACACAGTCACAAAACACTTTCAAAGGACTAAGAAGTGCGTGGTAAGGGTCATCACAGTGGCAACCCCTTTTCTGATACCAATTTTTCTGTCTTACTTCTTTTTCCTACTTCTGACTAAGGCCACTTAAGGGAGAAAAGATTTATTTTGGTTTAGAGCTTAAGGATGCAATTGGTTATGTCAAGGAAGTAAAAATGGCAGGAACTTGAAGCAGCTGGTCACATCATATCCATTATCAGGAAGCAGATGGTGGCAAATGAATGTGCTCAGCTCACTTTCTTTTCTTTATGCTGTCTAGGATCCTAGCCCAGGGAATGGTGCCACTTACTGTGGGTGGCTCTCCCACCTCAGTTAACCAAGATCATCTTTCATAAGTATGCCCAGAGGCCTGTTTCCTGGATGCTTCTAGATTTCATTAACTTGATAACTGAGATTAAACATCACACAGTGAAATCTATAGCAAGGGAGTCAGCCTAGCCTTGGTGTCAGGACAGACAGAGTGAAAGAATAAACGGAATCTACAGAAATTCAGTTTTATTTCATATTATATACAAACATTGACTGAAAGTAGATCATAACTTTAAATGGAAAAAATAAAGGGATAAATATCCTAAAAAGAAGGCATATAAAAAAAATCCCGTGACCTCAAAAAAACCAAAACTTTCTAAGACAAAAGACATGAAAAAAGTTTAACAATTTGTTTTTGATCAAAAATTCAGTTTGGCTGGGCAGGATGGCTCATGCCTTTAATCCCAGCACTCTGGAGGCCGAGACAGGTGGATCTCTGTGAGTTCAAGGCCATCTTGGTCTACAAAGTGAGTTATAGGACAGCCAGGACTATTATACAGAGAAACCCTGGCTTGAAAAACCAAAACCAAAACCAAACCAAACCAAAAAACAATAAACAAACAACTCCCAAACCCAACCCCCCCAAAACTCAACAAACTCCCCAAACAAACTAAAAACCAAACTCAGTTTGAACAGACAATTCACAAAAGTATCTATACTACATAAATATAATAAACACATATAAAATTTCAGCATCATTATTAGGAAAAATGAACATTGATTTCATTTCATTACACACCTCTTAGAATGGACAAAATCTGTAAGCCTGATTAAAAGAAAATGTTGACAGGAACGCACAATCACTGGTTGTTACAGAATATTTGTTTACACTGTGTGAAGATGTGTCACTGTGATTGGCTTAATAAAGACCTGAATGGCCAATAGAGGCAGGAGAGAATAGGCGAGTCATCTGTGTAGAGAGAGAAACTGGGGATGGATCTAGGCGCCCAGGAGATGCCAGTGAGACACTGAAGAAGCCGGAAATATGGTACAGAGGAGAGGTAACTGAGCCATGTGGCAGAATGTAGATTAGTAAAAACAGGCTAATTTAAGTTATAAGAGCCAGTTTGTGAACAAGCCTAAGCTAAGGCCAAGCTTCCATAATTAATAAGTCTCCATGTTGTTATGTGTGAACTTGTGGCCCAAAGGAAAGTCTGACCGATATAACATCTGGTGTCATACATTGTTGAGGGAACAGAGATTACCATGACTTTGGAAAACAGGTTAGCATTTTCTTGTGAAGATGGGCATACACTCAAAATACGACCCCCACATGTATTCCTAGGCGTTTACTCAAGAAGAAAGCAGAAGCCTGGAGAGATGGCTCAGCAGTTAAGACCACTTGCTGATATGAGTTCAGTTCCCAGCATCCACATGAATCAGCGCACAAATGCCTGTAACTCCAGCTCCAGGGGCTCTGACGTCCTCTTCTGGCCAGGGGCACTGGTATACATATACTTACAAATATGTAAATAAAAATGAAAATAATTAAAATGTTAAAGAAGAATAAAGACACACACCCACAAAGACCTCTGTCTCAGTCAAGGTTTTATTATTGTGAAGAAACACCATGATCATGGAAACCCTTTTTTTTTCTTCTTCTTCAGGTTTTAAAACTTTATTTGCATATTAAAAATTGTGCATTCCAATAATTAAAATCATTTAAACAAAAAAAAAGGCACTCTGATTAAACTGCATTTTACATCCTGCAGGACAACTTGGACCATCTTGAATTTTCCTCTGTATTTCACCACCTCCCACCCAGCTTTTTCCTTCACCAACATGCAAGTTCTTTTCCTTCCCTGTCAGCCAGACCGACAGATGGGTGGGAGAGGCAGGGGAGGCCTTCCTGGTCAGTAGTGATGTGAAAGGGGCAGCACAGTCATTTAAACTGGATCCAACCTCTTTGCATCTTACCAAGTTAAACAGCTAAAGAAGGAAAATAAGAAGGCAATGCTTGTGGAATGTACAGCGCGTATTGGCGGCGCTCGCCTCACTGCGATTCGCCAGCTTGCTTCTCCTGTTCAGTCGTCTCTTTTGAAGGCAGAGGATTTTTCTCTTGCATTTCTGTCTTCTTCAATTTCGACTTACCAAATTTCTTGATCTCAGCCATTTCGGGTTTGTCAGACATGGCTGCCGGAAGGAGCCGAGCGAAGTGCGGGAACAAGGAGAGTCTGATCTGCTCAGAGGCCGCTGCGGATTGTCCGATCATAGAAATTCTTGTAAAAGAAAGCATTTAATTGGGGCTGGCTTACAGTTTGGAGGTTTAGTCCATTATCAGCATGGGGAGAAGTGTGCAGGCAGACAGGGTGCTGGAGAAGGAGCTGAGAGTTTGACTTCTTGATCCTCAGGTAGCAGGAAGTAAATTGACTTGAGCTTTTGGGACCTCAAAGCCTGCTCCCATAGTGACACACTTCCTCCAACAAGGTCACAACTACTCCTACAAGGCCACACTCCTAATAGTGCCACTGCCTATGAGCCTGTGGGGGCCGTTTTCATTCAAGCCTCCACATTTTATTTATAAAGTTGAATATTGCAAACAACCACCACAACTGTACACTGATGATTACGGCCACCTTGGCATATGAAGAAGCAGAGCAGTAAGAGAGATCCACACAGGGAGATCTATGCTTAATGTCAAAGCTCTTTACGGAGAGATTGGAAGGACCACACCACATTGGTTTTGCTTGGGGACAAATGACTTCCACATTATCCCGTGATTTTTCTCTCTATGCAGTGGATTGCCTATAAACATCTTTCTGTAAAAAGGAAAGTGCCATCTGAAAGTCTTGGGTTCTGGACTGAGTCTTCCAAATAATCAGCATCACTTTGGGAGGCTTCCCCATCTCCGCATCTGTTTACACATGGATGCTGGGACCACACACAGTGCTGCTGGTCCTTCATCAAGGAGGGGCTGTATGTGTGGTACCCTAGGCTGACAGGCTGCTGGAGTGGACCAGGACTCTGAGTGTCAAGCTTCATTGAGGAGCATCTGCCCTCATGGAAGGAAGCGTCATGGTTCCATACTGTACATCCAGAGGCTGGGCCTGACTGGAAGAGAGAAAGAATCACCTTCCTGGCCCCAGCCTCACCTGCATCTGCCCTGGAACTTCTCAGCTGTCTGCAGTAGGTGGGAGAGGTCTCAGCCCTTGGGGCTGTGTGTGAAGGATCATGGAACACCGGCTAAGCTGAGCTGCACCATGGAAATTTCCTAACAGATAAACCAGTCGGAGTCACCTATGCATCACTAGAGACCGTTAATGTTTAATGTGATTATAATTGAAGGAAAAGTAAATGTGTGTGTATGTGTGTGTGTGTGTTTTCATGGTCCTTTTGTGCTTGCCAGATGTCCCTCTGTGATATAAATAAAAATAACCGTAAGCCCCTTATGCTATGGCATAGATGTTTAGGGATCATTTTGCTGGCTCCACCGTTCTTTTGCTACCTCCGTTCTCACCATTTTTTGGGATGTTGCTACAAACAATTCTGTGTGGTGATCTTTGCATTGACTTCGCTTCTTAAAATGAGCTTTCAGGAATATGGTTGACACGTGGAACACACAAAGCCCTCTAAGGATCTGGACCAACAATCATGCACTTGTGGAAAGCCGCTGGGAGAAAAATAGAATTGTTGAGTGAAATGGGTAAGAAGAGCTGGGAGGGTCATGAGGAGGGGTGCTGGTCACAAGGGCCATTGTGGCGACTCTGATGGACCACAGTCTTCACAGAGTACACTGAGACCTTCCTCACCACACAGGGCACCCACCCAGCAACTTATTTATCTTATCTTGGACAGATGCTATCTGCTGTGATAAAACATTCTGACCAGTAGCAGCTTGGGGACAAAAGGGTCTATTTGGCTTATACTTCCAGGTCACAGTTCATTACTGAGGGAAGTCAGTGCCGGAGCTCAAGCAGGAGCTCAAAGCAGAACCCTTGGAGGAAGGTTGCCTTCTGACTTGCTCATACAGGCTCGTGTTCCCCTAGTTTTTATACTGCTCAGTCCATCTGCTTAGGGATGGTTGTCCACAGTGGTCTGGACCCTCCCACACCAATCACCCATCAAGACAGTTCTCCAGAGACATGGCCACAGGCCAGTTTGATCTGGGCAATCCTTCCGTTTAGACTCCCTTAGATGACTCTAGGCTGTGTCAAGTTGGCAGCCAAAGCCAAGTAGGAGAGACACCTCTCTCATGTCCATCCTTGTAACTGGGAGTTACTTCTTGAAATACCTAATGCAATCCTCTTCACTTACCTTCAAATCCTCCACATTGCTTCAGCCTCTTGGAGCATCCCTTAGAGTACATGGCATGTGCTCCCATCATAGTGTCCGCTCCAAAGCAAGCCTGTTCATCTTTGATGATGGTCTCTTGTTTAGCTGCATCCCAGCACCTTGAATCTGTGCTTCCACCATGTGAGGGACTCCTACCCCATGCACAGTGGTGCTCTAAGCGACCTTTCAGTTTAGTATGATGCCTTCCTCTAAGAGCTGTGGGTTTCTCCAGGGATGTGGGTCCCCATGTCTGTATGGTTGATCCATGCCAACTGCCCATTTCTGTTGACTGAGAACAGTGAGAATCCTGCTGAACCCTGGCTGCCACATCTCAACCCTGCTCTTTTTTTTTTGTGCTTGCCTTTTAACTTCTGTTTTGGTGGGATGACGGGTATTTCTCCACATAAAACCCCCAGTCTTTTAAAGTTTTCCCATTCTTTTCTTTCCTTTCTTGCATCTGTTTCTACCTGCAAATGATGCATAGTGGCAGATTGAGAAAATAGAAGCAGCAACTGTCCTCATGGGATTAGAAAAGTGTTCAGTTTCACGAAGAACTGGTTTTGAGATGGGGAGCATCTAGAGAAATCTATCTACTCAAGGCTGGTAGGTGTAGGGCCATCCTTTCTCCCAGAGTCCCCATTCATCATGGGACACACACTTGCACATCTGTCCATCTGATGTCAGCTTCACATTCTATTTGTCCCTTCCATAGCCTGCCCACAATAAAAAAAATCATTCTAGCTTGAGATTCGTTTGTAGCACAGCTGTCTTCATTTATTATTCTAAGTTTTACTTCTTTCCTCTTAAATTTCAGTAATGAAAATGATGGTCATTTTGGCTTATGAGATTAGGTATGTGTGGAGTGGTATGGCCTTGGACTATTCTAGGACAGTTGTCTTCAAATTCCACTGCTGATGCCACAGGAGTCACATGTGATTTACGGATGAACAAAGAGTCATCATGCCAAGTCTTGAGGCAGAATTAGGGTGAATGGAGCCTGGCAGGCAGAGCCTGGGGCGTCACCTCAGCTGGCAGCATCGTCAAGCACCTCCAGGCTCTTCCCCACACAGCTGGCTAACATTCCTCTGATCTATATCCATATTTTTGTTGGACTAACAAGTGGGGCTTTTCTGTGCATCTTTTCCCAGGCTTTTCTGCATGTTGTTGGTGGGTGACAGAAAGCTGGCCATGTGCTTTGCGACATGTGTGTCTGTTCTGATGGGATTAGGGGACTCTCTTGGCAATGACAACCTCTGCGACTAGCAGTGTCTTTATTTACTTTCTTTTTTTTTTTAACATACTTTCTGCAGATGTGTTATCATGTGGAAGCTCTTCATGGCTTCAGTGAGGGCACCTGGTATCCCTAATGCACCTGGTATCAGAAGTAGGGGCAGCTGAGGTTAGCATTGGGTAACAGTTTTGCCAGGACTTGGGGACCCAGGATCACCTGCTCTTTCCTAAGTTCCCAGATAGAGAAAGAAAAAGCAGTGTTCAGAGAGAGAGAGAGAGAGAGAGAGAGAGAGAGAGAGAGAGAGAGAGAGAGGAGAGAAGAGAGAAGAGAGGAGAGAGGAGAGAAAGAGGGAGAGAAGAGTCTTGTAACCATGGGCACTGGAGCTGGAGCTTGCATTCACCGCAGGGCAGATGAAGCTGCCCATGTGAATGTATGGATGGAGCTGCTCCTCACTTGGTCTCTTCTCATGTACTGATGGCATTGGTGTTTACCCCACCCATAGTCTATTCGCAGGCCCTGCCTTAGAGCCGACACTGAGTGGTTCCTATTTAGATTCTCCACGCAAACACTGCAGCAGAGAGAATGCTTTCCCTGCTGGTTGGCCAAGAGGCTGGGATGGGCTGCACTGCTCCAAATACCTCCCCCAGGGAGCAGAGGGAAAACTATGGGCATTTCACATGTGGCAAGAAGACCAGCACAGAGCCTGGTGGCAACATAAACATTGGTGAACGGTGGATTTCGGGAACACTTGAGAGGACTCTTCTCCTTTCCCACGTCCATCAGCCTTCCATCCTCCAGTCAGAATATTCAGGGCTGAGTGTCACTGACACCACAGATGGACATGGGCAGTGAGCTCTCAGAGGTTCTGGCTTATATATCTGGTTAAGGATTGAGAGGCTCAGAGTGGACCCACCTTGTGTTCCCAAGCCCAGCGACAGTTCTGAAGTGGTGGGGACTCACTGTTCTGATGTTTGTTTCCACTTGCCGGTCTGGTCTGCCTCCTGGCTTCCTCTCTGACAGCTGCATGCATTCCCCACACCTAAACGTGCTTGGCTTGGCCCCTATAGAAACAGATGCCTGGCTCCTCTTGGCCTTCGTGGATGGCTCTCACTTTAGACCTACACGTGGGTTCCAGCATGGAGCACAGAGCCCTTACCTCCTCATTCCCTAGTGGTCACTGTGGTAGGAGCTACCATTGCTGATTCTTTCATACTCAGGCTCTTCAAGGTGGGGTACCCAAGGAGCTGCGGAGGCTGGAGGATAGGCAGCCAGGAGACAGATGGCCATGTCCCATCTCAGGATGTCTGTTCTCGATTTGTTGACGCTCGTGTTGGAATTTAGGGAGCTGGGGACGTGCTGCTCACTGACCACTTCAGCTCAATAGATCTCTTTAATTTAACCTGCTCCTTCTGAGGGGAGTTCAAGTGAAATTTCTGTTTGTGAGCCTGTGATCAATGCACCAGTCTAAGATCAATTAGCTATCCTGGGACTAATTAGCCAATACCGGATCAATGTTACAGCATGAGATCAATGTGCCAGGCAGGACGAGGGTAGAGGCCGATGGACAATGGCTGGGAGTCAGCATCAGGCTGTGTCCCTAGGGCAGGGCCTGTGTGCCTGGATGTCTCACCTGAGTGTCTCCTCTGTGCCCTATGCCACCTTGAAGTGTTTTTGAAACCAACTTCATGCCCCCCCCCAATCTCCAGGCCTCTACACTTTGGGAC